CGTACTTTATTAGCGCGATTTGGTCCTCATTGCAGATATCGTTGAACAGTTCCAACTGTTTCGACATTTTGATGATATTGTGTGTAATTTGCTCCCAATTATTAACCACAGCTCTGACAGCCTCTACCTGTCTGGTCTCGACAATCGTCTTGTTTACCGGTCTATCCCTCAACACAAGGCATGCATTGAATAGTTCACATAATCTGAGGCCTTCCTTCTCAGTCAATGTGTTATTATAGTCAGTGATGGGTCTTATGATTGACATAACATTGGTCTCGAAGTTTGCCATAGTTTGCAAATCACCATTATTATTAAATAAATTACCAATTGTCGCATGTTTATTTTGTTTTAAAATTTGTCGATTAGTTGAATAGTTTTTGAAATGAATATTTCTCAATTTATCTCGATGTCTAAAACTAGTGCTTATTTCTTTTGATTGAATTTCAGTGTCCACCGAGTCGATAGTGGTTTCATTGTTTGTATTTAACATTAAAAGTCTTTGTTTTTCAATGCGAATACAGTCCTAATTGAATATAATATAATAATAGACAATAAATATTATTAATAATCGTAATACCGTAACGAGTCGATAGTGGTTTCATTGTTTGTATTTAACATTAAAAGTCTTTGTTTTTCAATGCGAATACAGTCCTAATTGAATATAATATAATAATAGACAATAAATATTATTAATAATCGTAATACCGTATATCATATACCTTTCTCATTCCCACTGCAAAACATTTGTTAATTCGACATAATTTACAGAATTTTCGAGTCACAGAATTCATTCTGCATTGACCAGCGAATGGACATTTTAATCGCTATTTTAATATACAGGTGTATATTTGAAAATAATATAGTTGTATAATAAAATTGTAATAGATACTAAATAATGATTTACAGTATGATTGAGTGCATTGCGTCGGAAAAAGGTTTTACACGAAACACACGTCCAAACCATATAATTCTGGCCTAAATGTTGAATAAATAAAATGTTACTACTTATGAATAATATAATATTTTTTATTGTATTAAGAAATGTTTATTAAATTAATAAATTTCCACATAATATAATGTCCATATAAATAAATAATTATGCATATATAAATAATTTAATACAACATGTTTAATATTACTTTTACTCACCACATGCTATATCATCACAAACCGCACATTTCATATCGGATGTAGTATTTGACATTTTATTTTGTAAAGTATTTTGATTTGTTTCTATTTATATTAATTATTAACTGTTAATTTTGTCAATCTGTGTAATAGTAGAAGTAATTTACATTACAATTAAAATTTTTATCACCAGACAGTATGGGGGTTTTGAGACACCATGGCACCAATGTTAATTTAAATCAAGTTTTAGAAGTTAATATCTATAAATGACCTAAAGTACACTACAGTTTATTGCATTTGCAGCATGCACAGTAAACTATAATAATAATAAATTTTTTGCACATTTGTAATGAATGATTGTGTGTTTTATATTAGGATTATTTTTACTGTACACCGTATCACATTAAAAATGAAAATTGAATGTGAGTTTTCTAATAAAAAGATTTATTGAGTATAAGTTAGTTGAAAGGTTACATGAAATATTTTTATATTTATTTACCATATGCTGCACCTAATTTCACCAGAACATAACATAACATAAGGTAGTTAACATAACAAACCATTACGATTCTATGAATTGTTCATTGATAAGATAAATTATCAGTACACTATATATTACATACATCTATACCTTTAATTGTAAATGTAATAATGCAAAATAATTTGAATGAATACTTTTTATTAAAATGGGAAATTACAAATATAATATTAATAAATGTACAGTATCATAGTAATATTTATAAAATTAAACTACAATATATACTAGATTTGGCAATGCCAAAATATAATTATTATTATTAATTTAATGAATATAAATAATTAAGAAAAAATAATTTTATAATCCATAGATCTCTTTATAAAGTGGTCCCATAAATATGTTTCCGTATTCGTAGAAATCTTTAGCAATCATTTCATTCAAAGTTCTCAATACATGAAGACTTTTCAATAATTTAATGAGTCGTGACTTCGCCTCATCCATGGAGTGATACTCTAATTGTAAATAGCGTTGCAATAAATATATATAAATGTGTTGTTGGAGTCTATAAAACAAACATTAATTAATTAATGTAAATATTATTATTATTATTATTAACACTTACTTAACCACTTCCTTATATTTAAGGTTTGGGCGGTTAGGGTTAAACAGTGCTATGGCTATCATCTAATGTAATTAAAAAATGGCAATATTATGCAACAATTTATATTTATCATACATATATCACTGTACAATTTTCAATATCACCCTGAAGTTCATATTCCCCTAAACTTAAATATTGCCGGATAGAAGATTGATTATGAGTATAGATAACAAGTTTAGAAAGTTTATATGCTACTTAAGTACAACTTTTCTAATGTTATTATCTATACTCATAATCAATCTTCTATCCGGCAATATTTAAGTTTAGGGGAATATGAACTTCAGGGTGATATTGAAAATTGTACAGTGATAT